GGTCTCCTCGAAGACAAGTGACAAGAAAGCGACACCAGTCGGAATGTATGCCAAAAGAAAAACACAAATTGACATCTATCTCACGTTGGTCAGCATTACGTGTGTTTGATAACGGTCGATGTCACTGGAGTGCTTTGAGTCCCAGAACCTTCCCACCGCCATCAACATCACTCTAAGGTGTAGGTAAGCAACTTTCCTTATCTCAATGGGGCCTTGTGCAGTTCACCAATCAAAGAACTTAATAATTTGATTTGAGCTAGGCATCAGATAGGTCATTGCGACAGTGAAATTAAACACGTGAAGAGGAAATAGGCATCATGCACCCAATAGTTTGGGTTTTCGGCCTATTGCTTGTCACAAAGAACTGTGTAACAAAAAAATCTTTGTTGTCTATGCGAGCACGCACATATAGGGAGTTGAGAAAGAAAGAATAAGCGGAACCAACAAACAATGACTTACCGTTTGCAATAACTTCGCTTCCAGTTCGTGATTTAATTTGCTAAGATTCTGATGATTAGATAATAATCTGCAAGAAAAAACAGTACGACAGTGAAGCGAGAAGCTGTACAAATCTGATATATTACTATCTCGTTGAAATAGCAACAGTAAATCCCCACCTATGACTTTGCAGCTTCTAGGATTTTTGCGATCCTATGGAGCATCATTTAGTTCAAATATCATCATTATTGCGTTAACATTTCATAAAATAATATCGGATGCTGGTCAATAACAGCTAGAACCAGAATGGTCACGACAAAGTTACATAACTGACTCTCCTCAACCCCCGAACTACGCTGTAATCGTATTGTCTAGACGAGTGGTGCAGCGTGGTATGCCGTGATTGATCGATTGCATTGAGAACATAACGATTTCTAATTTGGAACTGTAGTCATGTGATCGACGCATACTACGACGTAGAGACGACCTTGAGGTGGTCGGTCCATACTGCCATGTCGGAAAGATTTGAATCTCCTCCGGTGGGTATCGCGTAGACTAGTCTAGGTCAAGTGAACGCAAACCGGTGGGTAGCGTTCCAACGGGCAGTTTACAAGTATTGACCAAACTCGTGCAACATTCTGATTTTCATCACATTTGTTCCTCTCAATGCTTCGTTTTTCCAGCCTCATTTACGGGATTGAATATAATATTGCCCCACATCAGACGCAACATATGATATA